GCTAACTGGTAAATGAATAAAATTATTGCTGGTAGAAAAAAGAAGCACAACCCTACCTAGTGCACCCTATATCTTAAGAAAAGTTAATCAGGTGATTTTACAAGAAATTTTGTATAAGATAGAAAAAGTACTTAAATATTCAATCGTTTTATTCAAAATATGTCGAGAATAAAAATTAGTGATGATCCGAAGTAATAAAACAGAAGTAAAAAACAAATATGTTTCTACAAGTTTCCTATAATAATTTCAAGAAATAATATATGTGTGCCCAAAAATTTTCTGCAGCCACCTCGATGAATGTATTTTCTCTACGTAATTAGTGCATTTATGCACATATTATTTAAATGGAAGACGTTAACTGGCCTTTCAGCACTTCTATAATATATATTTATTATATATAGTTTATTCTACATGCCCTATAAAATTAATTTAAAAGTTTTTCCTTCGTGAGATCTATATCGGAAATAAATTTCTAAATTTATGTCGACCTTAAAAGAAGGTAATAAAACAATCGTTAACTCTAGACATACTATCGACTCTAGACATACTATCGATTTTTCACCAGGAAAATAATTCAGAAAAACAACGTATGCTTTGAGTTACAAATCATTTTATCATCTCATGTAAAAGCCGAAGTTATTTCTATCACAAATCTAGATCAAAACAAAATTTAATAATTTGCCTAAATGAAATAAAAAATTGTTATTTAAAAATACTTCATTGATTATGTTGTGATCTGAATGAGTGATTTGTGCTTGTACTTAAACAATTTACAATTGTATTCCATACAAGAACTGTAATGCCTCTAATGGTGAGAGTAATAATGTAAAATCATTAAAACGCATTCATAAACTTGAATGTTTATGCCAAGGTTAACGAAATATTTGAAGTTGACAAGACACACTTGCAGGTTATAAAAATACTGGCATATGAAAAATTTATAAAAAGCGGTTTTATATAAATGTATCAATTAGTCTTCAGGCTAACGATAAAATTATCTCGACCGATAAATCGGTTGATTTGATTGATTTACGACAGGTGGGATGATTAGCGACAATTTTATCACAAGCATGGATTTAAATCTGAATTGATCATACAAATAAAACACCTGCATTTAAATTTTATAAATGCGTCTTAGTTTTAGCATCCAAAAAGTAGATTGAAACAACACTAACTATCAGATAGGCAACTAAGTAAGGAGAAACTGAGGTTTAATCTCCTGGGATTTTGATGAAACTTCGTTTGATGATCATGGGAAACAAACTAGTGTGAAATTTTCAAAAAATCGAATTTTCAAATTTTCCATATTTCGATAGATTATACCTTTAAAGATAACATACCAAAATTTTAAATCGATATCTTAAATAGTTTTGAGTCACAGCTATTTGAAGAGAATATATATAGTATATACTATATAGTATAACGATCATTTTATCTTTAAACGCGTTTTTCTCGAAACTGCATTTTCCGAATTTGCTGCAGCGACGATTACTCAAAAACAAATGATCCGATCACTATCAAATTTTTTTACATGTTCAATATATAGTTCTCCGTAAAATGAACTATCGATTTTTTGATCGGATCAAAAATCGAATTTTGGCAGTCCAAAAACGACCAAAATTTTGGGTAAAATTCAACTTTTTTTAAAAAAAAACGCCGTCATTTTGTCATTTTTTATTTTTTTCTTTACCGTAGTTCATTTTACAGACAATATGATCTAGTTTAACGAGATTTTTTTTTTTTAAATTTCATCCACGTAGAAGGCCGGAATCACTGCAGCAGTGAAAGGCCTTTTTTTGTGACGTCGTTGGAGATCGACGATAGCTTAAAAAATTTAATTATTTTCTTCAAAAATTTACTACTATGTATTCTTAAAACGTGTATAAATATATTCCTAAAATTTTGAAAATGATTGATAAAGTAGTTTTCTTAATATAAATTCCCAAAAACCACCTTTTTTAAGGCGGTTACACTAGTTGTGCCCCTTAACTCTCTTATCTATGAATCCGAGAGCAACAAGTACAAGCAAGCGGTTGAACCGATTGAGCTACCGAGACATATAAATTCATTTATTCTATTTTACAAAACTTTGATTATTTTTTATAATTAATCCATTCTCTCAATAACAATAATTTTTAAATCTGTTCTGTTGACTATCAACCTTATCACCATGCAAAGTTCATCAAAATCCCAGAAGAGTAACCTGAGGTTCTCCTTATTAGATGGCTTCAATTGAATTTTCAGGTTTGCAGTTAAATAATCTGTTGTCTTCTTTTGCTCTGAAATGAACTATTATATTAAAGTCATTTACTGTTCTTGAAAACGTTAACAAAAACTTATTATATTTGAAATAAAAAAAATCAACCGCCCTGTTTTGATACTAATTAAAACTTTTCCATTTTTGGAATTTCCCCGTTAGTTAGTATTTTTCAATCTAATTCAATATTTGTACTTTGCTCTAATAAAATTTCAATGTCTTCGCATATGAAGAGACAAATGGTCGGATCTACTAAACCTCCTCTGGCACAGCCTGCAGGCAAATGGTTTCAGGCCAGTATGCTTGCGATGATGTCTCGTCAATTCATCTGACCTGGCAAACCTCCACCCGCATCCCGCCCAGGTACATACATAAGGTTTTTCACCTGGAAGAAAATAATCAGGTAATATTAAAATATATATTTTAGAACAATAACAGAGTGATTTATGGGATGTGAGAAAAATGCTTTGCAATTGGAACTGATAATGACTCCTTGATCTAATCAAATCATACCTAAAAGGTGTCATGGAATGAAATTTATTTTATTCGGAAGTCTAACCAAATTGAATGAAAGGCATCACATGCAAGAATTTGATTAGAAGATGATTTTACTTTATAGTAATCTATTTTGGT